ACACTGCGCTTCTTCACTATCGTGGCAAAGAATGGTATGTAAATATGAGCGCTGGTGATAGAAGAAGGTTCAAGGCAGGCTGAAAACTTTTTGTTTTGGACAATTATGTCAAGCGAGGTTTCATCGTCAAATTTACGTTGGTTGATGTTGCACCACTATAAGTTGACTTCAATGTTGAATTGAAGGGAGAAGGAACTTCTGATAATAATCCGGTTGAAATTGATTAGGATTTGTATTGTGTTTTTCTATCCCTTTACTATATTTTATTTTCATGTATGTTGATGTGTTAATGTTATGAAATTACAATCGTCATATTGGTCTTCTTTACCATAATAATTTTCTTTTTTGATGGGATGTTTAGTAAATGTTTTTTTTTTGTTAATTCTGCCTTGTGGTGGCAGTGTCCTTTATATCTACCCTTTTAATATACAAAAATATTGAAAGGGGAATAAAGAGCAAAAATACAGAAGAAAATAATAATAATAATAATAATAATAATAATAATAATAATAAATAATAATAATAATAAATAATAGTAAATGCTTCATAGGGAAGTTAAATATGTTAATGTATTGTAAGGTCTAGTAAATGCTTCATAGGGAAGTTAAATAGGTTAATGTATTGTAAGATCTAGTAAATGCTACATAGGAAAGTTAAATGGGTAGATTTTAGATTTTGTATTCAAAGAGGAACGGTTATACTGATTTTACAATGAACTCTTGGGGTATTTGGTTGAAGTTAGGGTTAGAAATTGGTTGCAGTTGAATGTTGAAATTTTCTGGGGAAAAAACGTGCAATGTAAGGGTTGGAGGTAGGGATACCAAGATAGGTGTTGAAGGTAGGGTTTTAAGTTGAATGTTGAAAGTAGGGTGGAAGGGTAGGGTTTTAGTAACTGAATGTGAGTATCTTAGTTCTTAGTTTGAACTGATTATAATGTTCTGAAGTCTTTCACTTCTGTACTAGTTGCAACTAATCACATTTTGTTAGTCTAGTCCTCTAAACTAAAATAAAGTAACAATAAAATTAAGAAATATTTAATAATGACAATTATAATACCACACGTTTAAATTATTACAAAACAAAGTCAAAAAATTCAAAAAAGTCTATACCTCAATTCCTTCCGCTAGCCCAGTATTTTTACCACCTCTACCACGGCCTCTACCACGGCCTCTACCACCACCTCTACCACCACTTCTACCACCACCTCTGCCAACACCTCTACCACCACCTCTACCCCTCCTATTACCTCTAACTCCACTTCCACCACCCGTTTGTGAACTTCTAAAGTATGAATCAATTCGCCCTCTATATCTATTCAACCTTGGACGTCCGCGAGAAGCTACGTATCTAGGGTCTCTTATATTTCTTCCTTCACCCTCACCTTCACCCCCACCCCCACCCTCACCCTTACCCTCACCCACACCATCATGGGTATCTTCCAATTCCCAATTTGGAACTATCATATGATCATCATCCCAATTCAAAAGGTCATGCTCCAATCTGTTCAAATGATACTTAATATATTGCCTCATCACTTTAGTGTCCAATACAATATCGCAAACCCGTTCAAAATACTTTAATAGTTCCCTGTACATCATGTATTCAGAACTCATACGTGAGTAACCTCCTAGAAAGAAACGTTTCAAGTGCGGACGAACAACATCTTTTCTCCATCTTTTCAATATATACCTCTCATTAACGTTTTTAATCCTCTTATGAGACAACACCTTAAGTATATGGCAGCATAGAATACCTCTTGTTTCAAACCACTTGCAGCTGCAACTTAGATATTCGCCAATAGGTGTATATTCAACCGTGAATACAAATGGATCTCTAGTGTTAAAATTCCTGAACGAATAATCAACGATAATGTACTTCTCCACTCCAGCTATTTCTTGATGGTCTTCAGGGGTGCTGATTTCACAATGGTACAGTTTCCCTAACTGTACTTGAAAAAATTCAAACACTTCACGAGTATAACATGTTTGAAATTTTTCCTCCCATGCAAATTCAGATAAACATTTTAGTTCAAAGCACCTTGACCTATATTAAGCTTCCAATTCTTTCTCGAACTTAGCTCTTATGCTAACTCATATTGCTGAACAAATAGCTTCAAAGTACTTTGGCGGGTGATGAATCCGTCAAAGAAAGCATGCATTCCTTCACTTCTTTGTGTGGACAACATCCCAGCCCAAAAGTGGTCATTTAGGTATACAGGAACCCATTTCTCCTTCTCCAAATAAAGCTTATAAAACCAATCCCTTCCATCTAAGTTATATTTTTTAATATAATCAGTCCATCGTCTCTCAAACTCAGCAACGTTAATGCTATCAAGGACTAAAGCCTTAAATTCTGCATTTGCAATCTTACCATCAAGAACTCCACTTAACTTCGTAGGCAATTTTGCGAATATGTGCCATATACAATATCTATGTACCGTATTTGGCATCAATGCACCTTAATACTATCACATTGGTCAGTCATGATAGCTAATGGATGAACATTGTTTAGAGCCCCAAGCCATGTAGATAGCACCATTTTGTAACTTGTTATATCCTCACTGGACATAAGAGCACGTCCCAAAAGTATGGACTGCATATGCTGATTGACACCAACAAATGAAGCAAATGTCATATTGTATCGATTCACAAGGTATGTGGTATCAAGGCACATTACATCATGGAACTCCTCATATGCAACCTTAGAGTGTGAATGAACCCATATGACATCACGAAGTCGACCAAAACTATCCACATCTACGGAGTAGTATTCCCTATCTTTTTGCTGCATGTCACTGAAGAACTTGAGTAATGATTGTGCATCCCCTTCTTGCAACTGAAGCTTTATACTATTCAAAATATAATTTCTACAGTCCTTTGGTGTACAACCCAGATTTTCGGGGCCACCAGCAAGTACTTCAGCGACTCTTATATTTTTTGAGGGTCTTGAGCCAGCAACATCTTTGGCTGCAAGAGTTCTCTTAAGGGACTTACTAAGCGATTTGTGTCCAGCCATCAATCGCGATAGTGCTGGTTCCAATTGATGATTATGTTTTTTAACCACCTTTGAAACACGCCATGAACCATTCTCCTCCAAAATTCTATTTATTCTAGCACGGCAGTTCCTCCTCTTGGTAACATGCTTATTCCTTGGTTTCCTAGACCTATCACAACCATATTGCACATACCTAACAATATCACCACCTTTTTTGTTTGATGTTCTTTTGACAATGCAAAACCCCGATAATCTTGCATGTTCTTTGTAAAAATCAAACATAACATCCTTACTACTGAACCATATCCCAGTAATTGGACCAATTATGAGATCTTCTTTATTGAACTCATTAGGCATTTTCCTGTCCTCTCCAACTTCTCCCTCTTCCTCTAAATAATGGCCATCGTCATCATTATCATCATCATCATCATCATCATCATCATCAGCAGCAACAGCATCGTCAACATGATTTTCTCCATTGAAGTTGCCGTCTGAATCGATGTCGATCGACTCATCTTCATTCATCAAACTGTCGTCCGAATTCAACCCCAATGATGTGTGTAATGTATTCCTTAGTTGCTCTGACCTAGTTTCTAGGCTGTTATTCGGGTTTAATGGCTCCAAACTAGTTTCTAGGTTAGCATTCATGTTTAGGTTAAGGGAAGGGTGGTGAATTATGTGTTTAATGAAAGATCTCTTAACATAGGTATATGGTATGACAAGGTATACCATATAAATGAAAAAATAATATTATGTATACATAATAGACTTTTGATCTTCCCATCCGTATAAATTGCATTTAAAAAAAAACGCAATTGTATTTAAAAAAAAACGTAATGAGAGAATATACGAAGGCTGCCATCCGTATATACGAAGGCTTTTTATCTTCCCATGCATGAGAGAATGATGATTTATGGGATCAATGTTTTGGGATAATCAAAATTTATTAACTAATTTTGGAGGAAAAAATGGCCATTAAGCCAAATGTGAAATGAAGGGCTTTAGTGGTATTTCACCAGTGTGGTCATTTTTGGGCCACACTGAGTTTGGTCGAATAGCAGCACTCTTTTTTAAAATCATTTTTGAGAACATACTTACTAAAAAATACTTTTTAAAAGTTTGGCCAAAATTGCTACTCAAAAGTCAAAAGTACTTTTCAAATCAAATAGTCAAACACAAACTGCTTTTAAAAAGCACTTTTAAGAAAAACACTTCTCAAAATAAACTGATTTTAGAGGCTTCCTTTATTACTACTCATTATAAAGTAATATAAGCATTAGAAGTCCTTTGAAATAATATAATATTACTTGTGAATGATATTACAAATTTTAAAATGTTGTAAATGCAACTACTCCCTCCGGTTCACAATAAGTGTCAATTTTACTTTTTCATTTTGGTTCAAAATAAGTGTCCAGTTATGTAATCAAGAAAGAATTCAATTTGTTTTTACAAAATAACCCCTATGTACATATCCCTAAAAAGTTTTCTTACTCCTCACATTAAATGTTTAATTAGGGGTAGTTTAGTCATAGTAGGTATTTTTGTATAGAATTTAGTATTTTCTTAATGGGCGTGCTAAAAGTAAATTGGACACTTATTGTGAACCGGAGGGAGTAATATACATGCTTATTGTCCTTTAATATTCAAAACTAAAGTAACATAACAGCTAAGTCCAATATAATAATAAAATATTCCTTCCGGTCTATAATAAATGACCAATTTGCTTTTCCTATTTTGGTCCAAAATAAGTGTCAATTTATATAATCAAGAAAAAATTTAATTTGTTTTTACAAAATTACCCTTATGTACATATTCTTAAAAAGTGTTCTTACTCCTTATATTAAATATTTAATTAAGGGTAGTTTAATCATACTATGTATTTTTATATAGAATTCGATATTTTCTTAATGGGCGTGCCAAAACTAAATTGATTTGGACCGGAGGGAGTAATAATTAATTAGAATGTGTGTTTAAATATGAGTGTGTGGAGCGCACTGATCAGAAGGAACATTTTGGCGCCCTAAAATTCCTGGCGAAGAGCACTATTACCTCGGTGGCTGTGTTTCCTCAGAAAAGGAAAGCAAAGAGGAGAGATTACAGAAGTTTCTTCAGAAAATGAGCGGCAGGAGTAGGCGGGATGACTACAAGTTCCTACAAATAGTAGATGCCAGAGCTGCACTCAATCAGAAAGTCAATCTCATCGGCGTCGTTATCGAAACCGGTCTCCCCAAGCAGTCCAAGGGCACTGGTCTTTGTTTCTTCTCAAATCCTCTTTTTCCTTCCGTCTTATAGTTGAATAAGACGTATTTAAATATACTACTATCACTTTAGGGTTTATTATTTTTTTACTGTACTTTCTGGTGCCATGAAAGCTCTAATTTTCTTAAAAAATATTTGCTTGAAAATTTTCTATTATCATTGAGCTAATAAAACGAAGAGGAAAATGGAGGGAAAATGAGAATCAAATTCTCATTTCTCGATTGCTGTCCTAACGGATACACGTGTATTTATCTTTGAACAACGAGAATATCTAAAACTGAATACTATTATAAGAATTTAAATGCACCAATATATACAATAACTACAATGAACCATCAGCTAAAAATATCTGTTTCTTAGCTGCTTATGTGTAGCACCAGCACTTGCACAAGGTGCATCGAGTTGTTGCACATCACATATTTGGGATATGTAGCGGTAGTTAATATCCTGAAGCTGCTTCTTTTTTCCGCAGCATTGTGTAAACCTTTAGGCTTGATTTTTGGTTTCTTTTGTTTGTATTTTGTAGATTGTTTTTGCACCATTAAGATAATTGATGAGTCCTATCCAAGCCCTGGGATTTCAGTTAATTTTTTCGCTGCGACTATGGACAAGCTTCCTCAAGTGCTGACTGTTGGTGATATAATTCAGCTTTCTCAAGTTGTGGTAACTAATTTGCTCTAATATTTGCTTGTACCCCTGTGGGTTTCATTTCTTTTATCAGTTTTACATGTAATGTAAATCTTGAACTTAGATACAGAGTAATTAAACCCTGAAATAAATGTCGAAATGAACTGAATTTTCTTTTAAGAACCATGCACCACATTATACAAGGCTTAGATATGGAGTTACAATTGGATTGTCTAGAACTTCAAAAGGGTATATGTACTCCTTTCCCAACCCAAAAGTTTTGGAACGACTTCAAAATGTAACTTGAGCCATTTCTATCGACCAGCTCATGATATTTTTGTTCAATTAAATGATCAACTCAATTTCCAGCCGCGGTTGATTGATATTTTGGCATCCGTCAGGATTCAGCTATTCTCCTTTAAACAGAAGCAGCTAAGCAGAGATTGCATTGTTCCTTTTTGTGGGATTTGACTTTTATTCATTCCTGGGTTAGGAGGAGCTGCCTTTGCAGTTAGTCCATCACTTGATGGATATTTAAGCCACTCGGAAGTTTTTCCTTTATCCTCTTAAGAGGAGAAGTATTTGTTACTTCTCAAAGTTGATTGGAGTACATTGATAACTTTGTTTTCATAGCCCTTCTATCTGCTAGACTTTGTTATATCTGAATTCTGAACTGCTTATGAATCTACGATTATAAATATTTGGCAAAGGCTAAGTGAGAACAAATAAAAGTCAATTTCTCAAGGAATAGATAAAGTTAGTGGATTGGCCAACAAACTGAATGCATGATTTTGTCCTGATTGAATGAACTCTTATTGTTCTTAAGTATTATTTCTGGAAATAAAAATATGGTGTCAATCCTTACAAGTGGTATTTGTGGGTGTGCAGATGAAAACTCATGGACCTGAGATTTATGCTTTGTTCAACAAGAAGTTCTCTTCATTTGCAATATTTGACCGAAAAGATAACTCAAATTTCCTTCCTTACCAATGTTCTTTAAAGTATCATGCTAGAGAGCAAGACAAGAAATTTATATTGGATCTGATGAAGTGGTTGGAGGATCACCGGATCGATACAGGTATTCTCATCAGCATTGCCAACTTCAGTGTGATGCTTATAACAGAATTCCAGGCTAAGTACATAATGATTATTTATTTAGCTGATAAAGGTTGCATCAAAAAATGTTTCCTATGTTGATAAGTTCGTTTAGGAGTACATATCCATTATGGATGTACAGGTACATATAGTTCAATGAATTTCATGAAGTACCCTTGTCACACTTGTTCGACACAGACATGTCAAGGCAAATAATGGATCCATAAAAGGTGTTCGGTATATGTGCGGCAAATTTACCTGTAGTTATCTAGTTGCTACAGCCTCTCACATAATCTCAGTTAACATTAACCCTATCCTTCAATATATTGATTACTCTTTGAAACATCAGATTTGCTTTAAATGATTGATCCAATTGCAGAATCCCTTCCTTCTCTCCCTAGCCTCCATTAAAACTAATGGGAAAAAAGAAAAAGAGAACAGACAGATGCCATTTATATTCTGGTAGTGTTTTTTCTTTTTCTTTTTTTATTGTGTTGTTTGAATTTTCATGTCTCCCTCAGAATATGCTTACACTTTTCGTTTCTTGATAGGTTTGACTGATTTACATTCCTTGAAAGAGATCAGAGAAGGAGAACGTTTCAATTTGATTTGCAAGGTAGTTATGTGTCCTTAATGTAAGTTTTGTCCTTAAATGTATCTGGAATATGTTGGCAAGCACAGCGTGGGTCACATGTTCTTTGGTATTGACACTACATTCAAATTCACTAACACTTCCATTGCAAATTACGTTGGCATATGCAAGATTCTTCATGTATGTGAAGTTGAAAAAGATAAGTGGATGCTTCTCGTGTGGGATGGAACGGATACTCCACCCGTCACTATCAAAACAAAGTGAGCTTTTCTACTTTTCAATCAGGCTTGTGCTAGGAGTAAGCTTGTGATGTTAGTAGAAATTTTTTAATTAGTTCCCGCTTGATATGAGATACTTGTGCAGGAGTGATTGATGGATTCCCTGGATATCTGAATTAGTTATATGACCACTTTGTGCTTGCAATAAGTTATATTAGGCTCATTGTTGGAAAGAGATTTCCTTTATCTACTGTCACCATTGAACAGAAATTTGTTTTAGGTGGAAACTATATCTTTTTAATACGCTATTACATATTTAGTAATAAAACACTAGGAGATATCTGTACTAATTTAATGCTGTTCACTCTCAAAGCAATAGTAAAGTTATTGAAACAAGTTAGGAATTGGGCTTAAGAGCATAATTCGATAGGCCTAACTCTGAAACGCTCAATAATATTTCAAGCTTAACTTTTAATTTTTACCAATTTAGTTCAATGCCACCCAAAAGACTGAGTTGATGCAAACTAACTAATAGCCACACCTGGTTACTTCCTGATCTTAATGAGTATCACCAAAGTACCTGGATAACTGAAATTTCGATAACTTAAAAGGTCAAAGAAAAAACAAAGGGAGCTAAAGCCTCAAATCACCCTTAAATATCTGGCCTTCTTCCAGTACTTTACTGGCCTTAAATATAACCTCTGTTGAACTAAGTACACTCAGAGAGGTTCACTGAATACCTGCATACTGCTTCTTTCCAAGAAAGCTTTTGCATACATTATGGATGTTCTTTCCAAGAAATTTTTGGCATACATTATGGATGATTTGGTACCTGTTCCTGATATGCTGTGGCCTATTGTTTCATGAATTACAGGCTAGAAGAAGAATTGGAAAACCCACTTCCATTGCAGTCAGTGAACTCACCTTTGCCAAGAGATATTCTCTGTACCTTGCCGCCTCTTGGAACTGTCTTGAGGGTAACCATTGATCGTTGCAACGAGAAACTAGGCATTAACTTGCTCAAGAGCAATCGATGGGTGAAACTCATTAACATTAGATGTGAACTTCATACAGCATTGTGGCATGCTGTTATAATGCCCTTTACTAAGCTTTGCTACTTATCCGATGAAGATGACATCGTTTTACAGCGGATTAGGTCTTTCTTCTTCCAGTTTTAATATGTATATATGGTAGAATGTTAGGTGTGCAACTCCTTATTTGAAAAAAAGAAAATAAATAAATAATGTTAGGCGTGAAATTCAATTGCATGATATAAACATGTTCAACATCGTTATTTGACAAGCATGTCATAGCCCATGAATTCATAACATGGAGGCTCATGTCCGCAACATTTATCATTTCCATATCTACTCTTGGCAGCAAGGCGTTTCGTAACAATCTTGTCCCGCCAGTATAATACCATGCACCTCTGAATTTACCTCAATTGTTTGCAATTACATGATAGGGATCATGATGAGCGTCGTAAATCTAAATGGGGATGGATGCCTTTGTCATGCTTTCCTTGGCCATCTGACATAACAGGTTTGGCTTGTATGCTCAAGCAATGTTTCTGATGTTTTAATTACACATACTAATTTTTGTTTTATTTCCTAAATTCGCAGAGACCGACTACCCCGATGTACCTTTTGTCTCCTTGATGAGAGTTCTGGTGAATCCAAAGGTATCTTGACCACTTTACAGGGTCATCCTTTCCTTCCACCATGTTAGTATTCCAATTATCGAAGATGTATTGACACTATCTTTACTATTTACTTCGTGGATGTTGCAAGAAACCTTACATCTTCTTGATTTTTTATTGCACATAGGCATTGAAACACATTATTGGCTTTCAACAGATTTTGGCTAAACAGAAATAGTGTATTGATAGAGAAAATAGTGGTGTCCATGAACCATTTATTTCTTCGATGTTGCAAGCGACCTTACCTCTTCACACTCAAAACACTTAACTTCTCATTTGCTCTATAACTAATGTTTGAGCTCTTTTAAAGCACCAGAAAGATTCTTTGTTATCAGCTAGTGAATCTTCTACTAACTAGGCAACATTTAAGGACTTGGGAAAGTTTGAGTAGTTAGTCGTATGTTCAGTGTTCTTCCTCCCTGATTCCACTTGTTATGGATTAGCTTTTCTCAAGTTTTGAGATGAGGATAATATAAATTCCATTTCGCCTGCTGATTATACTATATTTATACTCACTAGTGAATAGTGGAAAAGGAGCATATGAGGGATAATATTCGTGAGGAAAATTGGTGCTTAATGTAGTGCAAGTTCCTTTTTTCAGTTTAATTGCTTTCTCCATTAGCATAGAAAGTTCTTAGAAGCTATTGAGTTAGGATGAATGTAGTAAGGTTCTTTATTGTATTATATATATGACTTGGCACTTTTTATCACTCTTACATCATTGAGCTTACGGCTTGCAGGTCGTAGGTAAATTCCACTGTGTAGTTCGAGTGGTAGCGGCATTTCCTTGGATAGTTGAAGATTTTCGTTCCCCTTCTGGGGTTTATAGGATCAGGTTGACCCTAGAGGATCCAACTACCAGAATCCATGCATATCTGTATGCAGAGGATGCGGTAATAATTATTTTCGCACTTACAATCTCTTATTAATCTTCATTAAATATACCGCAGCACATTGTTACTCATTTGAGGGTCATATTTCATGGATTTGGATATCAGTATTTTATGTAATTGAAAGCATATATATGTTGTACCTATACTCATAACTAACTGTTCGACTTGATTATTTTGAAGCAAAATGAAGATTCCGTGTGTCATAGTTGTTAGTATATTGTATAAAGTGAAAACTATTTACTTCCAAAAACATCCACCAATTTATCGGGAAAATGATGAGATGAAGGCCCTTGAAGGTTTTTTATAAATGTGAAGCCTCAATGTGCTACATCAAGATATTCTGTTGGTTTATTGTAGTGCAGAAATCTGCTAATATGAGTGATTTGCGTCTTTTCATTGTTTGAGCTACTAACTTGTCAAGCTTGTTTTTGAGATGATGCTACTTCACTTTCCAGGAACAGTTTTTTGATGGCTATCCCTCTGTTTATGCGTTAACAAAAAAGAGGAATTTGTTGTTTGGAACTTCTGAAGGTGATGATGGTAGTGAAATGAATGACTATTCTAGAAATCCACCCTGGATCAAATGTTGCCTAAAATCTTATCACATCGATGACAGCAATGTCTGGGGAAGTAGGAACTTTCGAATTTTTGCTACCACTCTGAAAGTATAAGAGATTTTCCGTTGTATATACCTCCAGTGCTTACAATGAACATATGTATTTTGGCCCTTCTGCAAAGGTACTGATGGCAGTCGCTAGCAAGTAGGTTTGAATGACCTAACGTTAGTTGGGTTTTGTTTTTGTAAATGTACTCATCCTACTTGGTAACATAAACTATTGTAGTTTTGCTTAAGCTTAGAGCTCCTTATCATATTATTATTATTGTTGTTGGTGGTTGTTGAGCCAACCGCGCCCGACCTGAGGACATATCACCTATTCGTATTTTGCCGAATTTAATCATCTTTTTATTAAATCACATGTTAGGTTATCATATGAGAAAATTACTTTCAAGATAATGCCCTCATATATCTCGAAAGATGGTTGAACTTATATCAATTATTAGTCAACTCATTTGAGCATTCAAAATCTGTTATATGATCCACACCAGACAAGCAAGTACCGAAGGCATTTGAAATTTGTACGAAGGAATATGAAGACAGATCTTCATTAGAGCGAAATAAATACTAATCAATCTATATAAGATTGACAACCAAAATAATGTAATCCAGTGTGTTGCTAATAGGACAAATGCAACATCTATCATCTTGCGCTACATTTAAGGTTCTTAGTAGCTTTATATTTCAGCTTTCAGCCTGAAGGAAAGAGCTCCGGAGGCAAAAAACTTTTGAAGGAAAGAGCTCCAGAGGCAAGGCGAAAGGCATGCATTGGTACCGTCGACATGAATAGCTAACATAGTTATGCTAGTGATGATGTCCGAAGACTTTAGAATTGGTTGGGG